ATACAGTGAATCCTTGAAATCCCCTTGAATTTGGAGAATCGCGCCCTTTCTCTTCCCCGTCGGCCAGGATTCAGCGCCATCCCGACCCGTGCCAAGCCGAGCAATGGCCGTTTCACCAAGAAGTGTTCTTACATCACCAGAAAAAGGAGAAGAGGGCGTGAGATACATAGAGAGATAGACTGGGAGAGATAAAAAAGAAAAAGAAAGAAAAAAGGGAGGGAAAGATAGATAGATAGATAGATAGATAGATAGATAGATAGAGATGAGAAAGAGAGAAGAGAGAGAGAGAGAGAGAGAGAGAGAGAGAGAGAGAGAGAGAGAGAGAGGAGAGAGAGAGAGAAGAGAGAGAGAGAGAGAGAGAGAGAGAGAGAGAGAGAGAGAGAGAGAGAGAGAGAGAGAGAGAGAGAGAGAGAGAGAGAGAGAGAGAGAGGAGAGAGAGAGAGAGAGAGAGAGAGAGAGGAGAGAGAGAGGAGAGAGAGAGAGGAGAGAGAGAGAGAGAGAGAGAGAGAGAGAGAGAGAGAGAGAGAGAGAGAGAGAGAGAGAGAGAGAGAGAGAGAGAGAGAGAGAGAGAGAGAGAGAGTTGAGAGAGAGAGAGAGAGAGAGAGAGAGAGAGAGAGAGAGAGAGAGAGAGAGAGTTGAGAGAGAGAGAGAGAGAGAGAGAGAGAGAGAGAGAGAGAGAGAGAGAGAGAGAAGAGAGAGAGAGAGAGAGAGTTGAGAGAGAGAGAGAGAGAGAGTTGAGAGAGAGAGAGAGAGAGAGAGAGAGAGAGAGAGAGAGAGAGAGAGAGAGAGCAGAGAGGAGAGAGAGAGAGAGAGAGAGAGAGAGAGAGAGAGAGAAAAGAGAGAGAAAGAGAGGAAGAGAAAGTTAGAGAGAGAGAAGAAGAGAGAGAAGAGAGATGAGAGAGAGAGAGGGAGAAGGAACGAGAGTGGGAAATGGACCCGCAGTCCCGCATGCCATCCTGCGCCACGCGCTCGCTCCTTCACCACCACAAGAGGGGCGGCGCGATCCTCCCTCGCAGAATTAATTGTTTCGAGGCTTGCGGAGAGGGGCAATGCCTCCGCATCCCTGCGGCGCGGGCGTCACCTGCTGTCCTCCCGCTGCCTCTGCTCCCTCGCCGTACTCTGCGACGCCCGCCTCATCGCATCTGCTTGCCAAGCCCTTCGCCCGCAGTGTACAAGGACGCTGCGGGTTTCTTGTGTATGAGACTTTGCACCCACGGTGCACCAGGTTCTACTTGACGCTTTGCACTCTAGCTCCACACTTAGAGCAAGAAATGTGGATAAGGGATCAGGCGAGGCACATATTGAACGAGGCTTGATGATTGCAGTAAATTACTAAATGATTGCGCTCGACAGTCTAGTGGTCAAAACTTATGCACTCAGGCAACACCTAACAAGAGGAGCGCCCTTATGCAAATGTCCTCCGCTCGGAGAACACTGGAAACTTTAATTACATAGCCTAGTGCGTAGGGTTACGGCTGGCAAACGCGGGCACCGGCTGGGCCACAAAACGCAAAGATTGGGTGCTTGTTTATTCCGGCACACTCGCGTAGAGTGACCCGGCTGCACGGCACCGCCCGCCGCCGCCACCTAGCAATGCGAGGAGCACCGCCACCAACCCCAGCCCCGTCCTTGAAACTAAGCCTGCCCCAACCACTAATACCCTTCTCGAGAGAGTAGGACTGGCGCGAGCTGAAACCTGTCTTAGGGTTTAAGAGGAGCCAGCGAGGGGGCACCTGCGCTCGACGTATCGGCTACGCTGGCGACACGGCAGCTAGGGTTGCGTGGACTGGTGGTAACGGGGTGCTGCGGAGTTGGTATGGACATTGGTGGGGGCGAGGGGAAGGGGAGGGGAGGGAAAGTACTTTTACCTAATCAGATCACGGAGAGAATGGGATAAGATAACAGGGTATATGATTGTGGAGCCCGCACTTATTAAGGATAGGGGGTGAAGATAACCGCAAGTTACGCATCATCCCTTTGAGATCCAATTGTTTTGGTACGCATAAACGTGTCAAAGTACACAAAAGTGCAGCAATCGCCCCTTGAGAGCAGGATATTTGAAAGTGGGGAAGATATGGAGGAGGGGATGAGGAGGAGAGACCACACGAATGGCGGACAGAGAAAAGGGAACGAAGATAAAACAAGAAAAGGGACCAAGGAAACGAGAACACAGCGAAAGAAACAGAGAAGAACAACGGAACGAGTAATGAAAGAAGGAGAAGAACGAGATGAAAGTTGCAAGGGATGAACTTCACGAGAAAAGAGAAGTATGCAAGACGGCGTGCCTCAAGACATAGCACGTGACGAGGAGCCGCCACCGGCGCGTCACGCTTACATGCTTCCCACGTCCCTCCTGCCTCGTAATGAGTCGAGTAAGGCAAACAAGTTTGGTCGCCCGCAAAGGGATGTGTATTGTTACGAAACAATTCGGGGGGTACTTCGATGCCTAACGCGGCCACCTTTAGGCAGATATGGGTTTCTCTGCAAGTGTGGAAACAACTCGAAGGTAAAACGGGCCTTGAAAATCTCCGACGATGGCATCTGCCTCGGCGTCTCCCCCCAGGCCGCCCCCCCATCCGGGTCGCCCTCTGAGATGGGCCCAGCCGCAAGAGCTCGGAAGTAAATATAGCACGGATTTCGTACACGCGAGCGCAATTTGGAAGCTGGGAATGCTAAATCAGAGACAATCTCGCCAGGTGCCGAAGGCACGGGGGGAATCGCGTGGCACTGAAGCGGAGGGAGAAGGCTGTTGACTGTCACTGGGAGAGAGGGAGAGACATATTCTGAGGGCTGCTGCAGAAGAGGTGAGCGCATGGCTTATCCGAGGAGTGATGCTGGCTGCTGCTGCGTCTCTTCTCCTCTCCCGCCGAAAGGTCGTCTGATGCAAGCGATGCTTCGGGGCGGAGAACGACAGGCAAACGGAGGTCATGCCATCCCTATATCGAGGCAAATCGATGGGTGACGACGCTTGAGATTGAAATTCGGCTCCTCTTTCTCCTCAGGACAAACTCGCGGGCAACAATCGCCGCTCCGTACCGGTACGGATGCCGCTCAAGGAACACTTCCCGTAATTATCCAGTCACACTCCTGTCGCTCGAATAGCCGTGGAGGACCGAGAATCGGGAGCCGACTCGACAGGAGAGATCCGAGACAGGCGACGGCGCCGGGAGGACCTCAGACCACCAGCGGACAAGAACTTCCCTCACGTACCGCGCACGCAGAAAGAGGCTGGAGAAGGGACACTCCGAAGACGGGGAAAGCTCAACCGAAGACGGCTCAGCGACAACTCGACTGCCAGCAATCCTCCTCCTTTCCACACGGGCGAACGATATCGATCCCAGACGCAGGCGAGCGGCGGACGATAGGCAAGCAGACTGCCGCTCAGCTCCCAACGAAGAGGTAGAGCCCAGCCTCGGGCTCTCATCAAGATAAGAAGCACACGAGGACGCAGGAGCGACCGGCAGGAGCTAGAGGTCAGACGCTCGTCAGCCCGATTCCTCGAGACACGGCAGCAGACGCCAGATCAGACGCAGAAGCTCAGCCTGGGAGAGGAGAAGAGAAAAGGAGAAAAAGAGAGAGAAAGAGAGAGAGAGAGGAAGAAAGAAAAAAGAAAGAAAGAAAGAAAAGAAAGAAAAGAAAGAAAGAAAGAAAGAAAGAAAGAAAGAGAAAGAGAGAAAGAGAGAGAGAGAGAGAGAGAGAGAGAGAGAAGAGAGAAACTTTTCTACTTTCCTTTCCAAGTAATCTACACCCTACAGCCCTCCCCCTAATTGCCCTCAAGTTTCCCCATATCCAGAAGGAAAGTCTCTCTCTCTCTCCCTTCTCTCTGCCCCCCTCTCTCCTTCTCCTTCCCCCTCTCTCTCTCGTATTCCTCCCTCTCTCTCTCATCCTCTCTACCTCAGTCTTTCTTTTTCTTTCCTTTCTTCTTTCTTTTTTCCCTCCCTTTCCCTTTTTCTTCCTCCCCCTCCTTTCCTTCCTACCCTTTCCCTCCTCTCTCTTCTTTCCCTTTCCTCTTCCCACACGGCAACTGGAACAAAACTTGGCCTCGTGGATCAGCCTCGAGTAATGCCAGCAATGCCAGCAGCCTCCCGAGCGCGTGGCACTGACGCCTGGCACCCCCGTCACGAGTGTATATATAAGCGATGTCGTCAATGGCACCCTCGACCCGCCCGACCTCGCCTTCGGCACTGAAGTCTAGATGCTACGGTTGCGGCAAATTAACTAAAATGTGCAAACATGAAACTTCAGATGCAGGATTACTTTTCTTGATGTGCCACGTGTATGATGAGTTATTTTGCATACAAATTTTTGACAACGATTCCTTTGCTTATTATTAAATCATTATAATATAAGGCACGCATTCAAATAAAAAAGATAAACAAAAAATAAATGACATAACTGACGTTCAGCGCAATGCTAATTTAAACGAACTAAAGTCTAACGTCAATATTCTTAAGTTAGCCCCATAATACCCGTTTTCTTTTGAACTTACTCCATAGCAGAAAATGGGAATTACAACATGCTGGACAAACTTCTATATATAGCTTCGAGAGGAATGAACATGGAGACAACACTTACGTTCTTACTTACTACAGTGAAACAAACGCAGGCAAACAAGTTAGGACACTCATCAAAAATAGTAGACACCGTTACGCATATCCAGTTACAGCGTAACCGTCATGCAACCTGCTTAGCCACAGCATGACAATGCTGCAAGGAGCAACTGAGATGCCACAGACTTCCTGACCTAATTTCTTCTGTCAGGTGTCTTGAGTGTTTGCCAAATAGCACAGGGCTTACAACATCAGTTTCAGTATATCAACAACACAGAAAGAAAACGAAGCATGCGAGATCAATTAACATATGGAAATTAATACTGTATAAAAAAAACATAAAAAATCACGCAACCAAACTGTAACTAAAAGTGTTAACAATGTGTGCGCGCGCCCACACAGACACACACACACATACAAGCACACGCGCCCGCAACATGCATGGCTAACCTTGAGTTTCCCTGAGAAGCTTAGTGACCTTAGGGACCTTCCTCGCCCCTCGAGCTCCTGGCAGGGGCGGGGACGAGCTGAGTTCCTGGGGCACTGGGGACTCCTCCGAGGCAGACCCCCAGCCTACACACCACCACCAAAGCACCCAGTGTGAATGAGTGTGAGACAGCGAGACAGGGGGAGGAGGGGGGAAGAGGGAGGTTCTTTTAATTAAATGTGCTTTAGTGTGGAGGCCTGAAACAGCACACTGTGGATTGTGCTAAAATGCTTGCAGTCGCATCACTACCTGGCTACTTGGGCTCTGAATACTAATCTTATTCTAAAGAACTAAGAGGAAATCTATTATTGTTTGCATACCAAAACGAGATGCATAGAAGAAATATGGATTCCAGAAATCACTAATCAGTTTGAAGAATTTAACTAAAATGTTACATTTGATAATCCATTGTGTACATCAAATATTAGTAATCACATGTTTAAAGAAACAAAATTTCAACAAAATATAACCAAAATTTAATCAGTTACCAGCATAATGGTACCAGCATTCAAAAGCCAAATGTTAACCCCAAGCAAGAATAATAAACAAAACATCCACAACACTTTTGCTTAGCCAAAAACGACCACAGAGTCTGCGAGACTTACTATTGACAGTGATGGACCTGTCGAGGTCATAGCCCCCTGGCCCCTGAATTATCGTATCGGACTCGGTGGGGTCCTCGGGGTCGTCCGAGTCCGTTAGGTAAACGGGGTTGATTTGATACATGTCCCTGAATGTCCTAAAGCTGCAGTCCACCTGCTGGGGCTTTTCAGAGCCCGAGTCCAGCCCTGCTTCAAACCTTAACGCCCTCAGACTTTCTGCAGGGTCCATCTTGTCTGGGGTTAGTTCCTGCTGCAGCGGGCAGCCCTCGAAGATCATGTCCGGCTGCGCGTAAGGGGCGGGAATGACACTCGCCGATGCGGGATCCTTCGAGGCGGGGGACCTCGAGCGGGAGCGGGAGAGGGACATCTCGTCGGAACCTTGGACTCCTGAGCTAGAGGCTGGAGAGGACCCTGGCAGGGGTGACTCCTCCCGCCCTCCCCGTGGACTCTCTCCACTCGTCAGAAGGTGCTCCTCGGCGCCTTCATCGCCCTCATCCCGCCCTCCCCTCGCCGTCGGCCTCCCTCGCTCCCGCTGGAGCCGCGGGCCCACTATCTCTTTGATCCTCGAGCGGATGTCTGAGCCGTTCGCGTCATTATCGCCCGCAGAGTCCTGCAGCGTCTCACTATCCTCGTTCACTAAACTGTCCACCACCAACTTCATGGCGTCGTCTGAGAAAACGTCGTCATGGTCACTTTCGAAGAGAGGCGGAACACTGAGTGGCGAGTCCTGGCTACCTACACTCATACCCACACCCACTGTGGGAGCCAGATATGATGGCAAGAGGGGTCCCATGCGAGACTCACCTGGGCGACAAGAACACGGTCCCTCGTACACTATCTCTCCCGCAGGCACGTCGGGGCCTGCTTTCTCCAACTCGTTCTTCCCCCTCCCATTCACAACCAAACTTGTGTCTTTTGATCTTGAGCTCCACTGATCTGGTTTGGAATTGAAGTCTGAGTCTGTGTCATAGGAATATACGAGATTTAACGACTGAGTGCCTATAACCTCCGGGAAAGACCGAACATAATCATACGAATGGGGTAAGCTTTCCGCACATGAACTATCCTTAGCATCTGTGTACGCCGAATTATCACTACTGTCAATGGGACTCTCTGACAAGTCATGACTTTTTTCTTTAGCTAACTGACTCCCTTCTAAGGAAATGCCAATGAGAGGCGTGCTCGCAGCCCACACCTCACATGCTGAGGTTGTTTCTTCCGAAGTCTTCTGATCATAAGGCAGTTGCGGTCCCTCATCACTTGACTCACTATCACCTACGAATTCCGTTTTTGCCTCGAGGGGCTTCGCGGTCTCCTTAGCCTTCACTACGTAGAAATCTTCCTTCTCGTGAACACTGTGGAAGTCGCTCTCGTCCTCGTCGCTCGCAGCTGTCACCTCAATGGCGACTTTGGGCGGAGGTGGGACGATGTTGCGGCTGATCCAGAGGGCCTCGTCTTCGATATTGACCTCGGGGAGATTGGAAACGCCACCATCAGCTGCAGTACTGGGGTTGCTCTCGTCCCCTGCGGTTGCAAGAGAATCTGTTCCGGATGGAAACATAACCAGAGTCGTCTCTGAAGAGCTTTTGGGTAGCGCCTCCAGGCTGGCCTCAGTGCACGTTTCTGTGAGCAGGTTTGACGTGTCCTCCACGATCTCAGACTCACACAGCTCTTTCCCAAATGAGAGCGAAAGGGGGTCCTGGTATTCCTTCATGAATCGCTCTCGTTTTTCCTTCCAGCTTCTTCCGCGAACCAGCTTCGGCCTCCCTAGAATGTGTTCTGGCACTGGCGCTGGTTCGGCGATTACTTCTCTTTTATTTTTCTTGCCCTTTTTCTTCCCGTTCTTCTTTCCGTTTATCTGACTCTCTTTCCCGCTCTCTGACTTCCCTACGCAATTCACTTCCTCCTGGCCGTCAGACGAGGGCGAGGAGCTGTCAGGCTGGACGTCGGAAACGGCTAAAGTATCTTTCTCATTTCTGGCACTCTTGGTATGAACGTCGTCATCTGGTGCCAAACATGCCTTCTCACCATCACCCCTTACTTCCACAGCGTCCTGGCTCTGTGATGACAGCGTGTCACAAACAGACGACGTCCTGTCATTGCTGCTGCTGCTGAGATCAAGAGGTTCGGAGTCACTCTCCACCAGGAAGTCCGCAGTGCCAATGCACTTGTCCTCGCACGGCACCAACTCTCCGTCAGATTCAGTCTCAGAGCTGCAGACGGATGCGGCCTTCCTTTCTTGACACTCGTATCCTATCGACACCTGAGGCGACCCAGGCCTGTCCCAAGCATACGTGCGCTCGGGGCGTGGCAGAGGTCCGACAAACACCCGAGACTGTGTCTTCTGGGGGGGACTTCCGTCCATCACAACAGGACTCATGGTCTCCGGTGACGCCAGAGGAACAGTCTCTCCCTTGCCTGGCCTCTTCTCGAGGGCCATGAACACGACGTCGATGTCTTCCTTGGTGATAAGGTCGTCATCCTTCTCGCCGCTGTCTTCCTCTATGCTTGGCTGGTCTACTAGAGTCCTGTCTTCCTCTTCCTCCCGGCTTCCCTGCTGGTCTTCTTTCCCTTCTCCTTGTGAATCCTTTTCATCACCTCCCTCGCTCGCTTTATCAGGAGCCGGGAGATTCCCTTTCCTGCATTCAACATTCAAAACCTTATCAC